GAAGAAAGAAATATAAAACAGTCTTTAAAAAAAATCAATGAATCACATTTTTGTGTCAGCAACTCAGGAGGAATGAAAGATGAGGACGATTCTTAAGGTAACAATCAAACCAGACCCGATAAAGCCTTGCTTATCAGACAGACAATCTGGTTTTAAACGATTCTTACAATCGTCGCTCGTAGCCATTAGTTAATTCTACAATAAATTAACCTCAGCTGTAACAAAATCCCAGATAAAGCCGAGTGGAGACGGCCACTGGATAGAGAACTGAATGCTGCATTTTAAGATGTAACATGGCTTTAGCAATGCTGCTGCTGTTTGATATTAGCAGTGAAAAGGGGCCTCAAGCTGCTGTCTCTCGGGATAGATGGGGCAGTGAAGCCCGTACTCTGTGGCCAGCAGGGTATAATTACGTTTTCCCATGGGGCACCTCTGCTGCACCAACTCAGCCACATAGAGGGGAGAGATTGAAATCTGATTGCACTCACGCGCAGCCATCAAATGTCCACACGTCAACAGTGAACGTGTGCACGGCGCACACGCCGGTCTGCGTCTGGCACGAGCGCAGAGCGAACGGACGCGCGCCCAATCAAAAGCGTCGCCAGTCGTCGTTCTGTCCGACTGTTCTCGCGGAGGAGAGTCTGAGAGAGGCATTGTCGAAACGCCCTTCAGTCTCTCTTTTATTAGAGCTGACGGGAGCAGAAACACCGGTCTCAAATGCTGATCCTCTAAAGACGCCTCATCGCAGGAAGCACTAATGGCGCCTCGTATATTTTTCAGACAAACAGGGATTCAGTTTAGTACTACTGACTGTCAAACTGCGTTAAAATGATTCAGAAGAGTCGCTGTGAAGAGGTGAATAAATAGTGCAACAATAGCGGTTTGTCTCATGAGTTAGTGATGAATTTCTGGAGGGTAAAAACTTATACAGTATATGTTGAAACATTTTATTTTCAGGGCTTCAAACAGCCTAATTTAGCATTCAAGCACCAACCACTACTCTGTGGATTTATGTTGGTTCTTAATATTTCAACACACAATAATTTATTTCGAATAGGGAGCTACAGTCTGCTGCAGACAACTAACTCGAAACGCGTATTTGCAACAGTGAAAATGAGGTATCCCAAGTACTGGCTCCAGTTCTGATGAGGTAATTTTAAAATGACCAATATTTCATCCTGCTGCACCGCTTGTTTTGTTTCCCTCTTGTGCATATTGGTTCTTTCTGGGTTCTCTGGCTTTTTCCATCAGCCCAAAAGCACGCATTGTTTGTCTGCCCAGAGAGGGCGCTGTCCAGGGCGTTCCTCTGCTAAAGTCACGATAGTGTACATATTCGGATTTCAAAGTCACGGCGTTCAATGTTTTCAATACTCTCTCTGTTTTGTTTAAAATAAAAATAAAAAATAAAAAATGAATAAAAAGATGAGTTTAAACAATTTGGTTTCATTATGTTCTAAATTTTAAAAGGGGGGAAGATTTAGAGCTTGCAGGATTATTTCAAAGCCAATGGGAGAAAAGATCAAATTTTTTCTCCATTATGTGTGATGTTGACATTCAACTTGACTTTGTTTCAGGTCCACGCATGTGGAGAGCCGGCAATGTACCTTACTGCTGTATGGTGATAAAGTTGTTTGTTCTAAATGTTTTCTCCTCTCTAGCTGCTTAATATTGCCGTATAGCAGAGCTTAGGGATAGCTGGGAGTTCTCTGTTTTGTTTTTACTTTTTATAGCTGCCCACAGAACGTGGCATTGCATGCATTTACCATATGTACCATATACTGAAGTATATAACAGCGCTGTATTTGTTTCATACACATGCGTACGGAATCAACGGGGTTGTACCGAATATTTTTGGTGCAAAAACTCCTGCTGGATGGATGTTGAGTGTGCCTGGTCTCTCTATACAAGTGTATTTGGTCCGTTTGTATAGGACCAAATATAATCTAAGGCTGCGTCACACCACAGCCTGAAATGACCCAATTACGATCTTTTGTCAAATCTGATTTTATTTTATTTTTTTTCACGTGGCCATTTGCACTTCCCAAATATACTGGAAATCACCTGTATGGATATACAGGTGATCTCCAGTGTGAACAGGCAATCGACTTGAAAGCGTCCCGCATGCGCAGTAGAGGGCACAGTAATGTCACACATAGAGAGCTAACTCAGTTTTTGTTAACCACCATAAAAAGAAGTGCTGAGCGTTTGCGGAAGTAAACATGGATGCTAACAGTAGAGCATCTTATAATTGTGAAGTTGTTGTCTGACTGGAGCAGCATATGAACAACTTAATCCTCATTACAGTCTGAAATGGTTGTTGTTTTTCTTCCCGCTTGCATGTATCAGGACACAGAATAGTGGAATTTGTCGAGTATCAGTGACGTTCATGTTGGATTAATGCGACATGTTAGGTCAAATCTGAATCCGATACGTATCAGATATCCAGGCAGCCTGCTTCAGATTCAAAAAGAATCCGACCTCTGTTGTCCAGACTGTCATGAACAAATCAGATACAAGTCGCATTAAGTAAAAAAAACAACAAAAAAAAACATCAGAATTGGGTCACTTCAAACTGCAGTGTGAACACAGCCTAAGTCACAAGATCTACAAACAATGGAGGAAGTCTTTGTTGGGACTGCGGACAAACTCACCAACAGGTCATATCAAAACAGAGTTTATTTGTTGACATTAGCTGCTTAGATTAGATTCATCGTCATTACACAGTAAGCAGTAATTACACAGTAAGCAGTAAAACAAGATTAATAGCACAGATCTCATCAGGGCTTTTATAAACAAGTGAGTTGTCTTCTGTAATTGGCATTTTAGCAGCCTATCTTAGCATGAAAACATGCCAACGGGACTGAGATGGGAGTATATTGAAGATGGTAGCCTTACATGTTGAATTACATATCTCTAATAGAAAAATGATAACGCTATGATCCTACACTTGTAAGTTACTAAGTTTAAAAGCAAATAGTTGCTCTTGATGATATTACCTTTACTTAAGAATCAAATTTTAATTCAGTTCAGCATGAATAGCAGAAAATCGCGCTGAGCACATCCCTGTGAAACTGTCTTGAGAATGGCGTACGTTCTCATGTCATAATTTAGATGTCGTAGGATAGAAAATAAGCAACGTAGATGAAACACGTCTGGATAACTCCATCAGAGTCTAACAGGGATGCTAGATTTAGGCCTCTTAATGTGACCTCATCTAAACCATTATCTGACCACAAAAGGCAACTGTGGTGGTAAAAAGGGCAGACATTAGAGCTGCCCAGATATCCTGCAGTGTCACCTTGACTGCTGATACCTGCCACCACACCACCCTCCGGCCAGGGGAGGAGGCCCGGCTGACAACAGGTCTGTCAGTAGTGTTTCGAGGGGTGGAGATCGGAGGAACACAGTCCTTCCTCTGCCTTCGACAGCAGCTAAGGCGTGCAGTATTAGCATACAATCCATATTCATGTGTGTTTTCCCTTTGACTGCGTCAAGCAGCTCCTCGCACACATTTTGAGCCAATTTTACAATCAGCATGTCGAGCATTTTCTCCAGCAGTCCCGCGGGCCTCTTGGATATTCTCAACACGGGAAAAGAAAAAAAAGAATACATCAACAGGTCTCAAGGTCGTTACCTCCTCTTTTTTGTCTGCGTGTTGGCATGTGTGAGGGGTTCGAGTCTTTAAAAAAACGGTGAGGGAACAATAAAATGGCCGATGGTGGTTCAAGTGTTGTGCGTGAGCGTCATTTTAAGCAGCGCGAGCGTATTAGATGCGTATGTGCAACTAATTTAGTGCAAGTCGGTGGTTGTGGTTTTATTTCTTTTCCCACAACATTGGCGAGGGTAACCAAGCAATTATGCCTGGGAGTGTGTGTCTGTGTGCGAGCATAAATGTGTCCATCTGGGCGCAGAGTGCAGCATGCAGTTCCGACATGCCTTACAGGTAGAGTAAGCCAGAGCATCCTCCTTTGGTCCACTGACATTTCGGTGAGAAAAGAGGCCAGTTGATGTGGGGTTACAGCTTCCATGAGTGTGTAGGAATAAATAATGAATGCTTAAGGAAGAGATCTCCTTTTCTTTCCACCCATTCATCCATCCCTCTGTCCATCTCTGCATTCGTTCATCCACCCAGCAGGAGCACCAAAGAGAGCATTCAGAAGCTCCTGTCATAAATATTTCAGCCATCAGGTCAGCGATCACACCCTCCTCCCCTCAGCTGCTCTTAACCGCCACTGCTTGGTGATGACACAGCCTTTTGACCCATAAAGCTATTGACAAAACACTGATAGTGAGTACATTCACTGAGACCATTTGTCGGTAGATCACCTGGCAGCTGTTGAAATGGAGAGTCTCAAATGAACCCCTAATTGGCTTCCAGAAAAAAAAAAGGTTGCCACAAGTTAAATAATTTCACACAGACCTGCACCAAACTTTAAAAGTAGTAGCATTTTCACTTTTGTTGTTTTTTGCTCCAGAAGAACAAAACAAAATACCAAAACAGACAAAAGAACCACTAAACATAAAAAGTGCAATCTTATGGTCGATTTTCAAAACCAACAATCCACTCAAAAACGACATCCCTTGCGAGGAGTTGCTTAAAAACCAAACAAGAGACAGAGATCACATGTTAATAGTGCGAGTGTTTGAAACTCCAAACTTCGTTCACAAAGCAAAACGCCAAGCCGCTCGCTGCCCTGACTCGGAGCCAGATCCCGCGGAGCCTCCGTTATAAGCGAGAGGTCTGATCTCTTTTAGACCGATGAGCGGCGCCGTTAGCGGCATGCATAAATCTCAAAGGCGAACATAACGGATCAGAGCGTTCAAGTGTAAAACTAGGGCAAAGCTCCAGCACTGTGCCGTCTGGATGCGCTCCGCTTGGAAGGAAGGAAGCAAGTCCTGCAGAGGACCGAGATCCGGCATGCGGGGAGAGATACGTACACATGCTGCTGTATGTCAGCGGTTGTAAACAGACATGAGCCGTCAGATATTTATTCACGCACCTGTTTGGCCAGCCTACGCGCCGTCCACTCCCGTCCTGCTCTGCTCGGATCCAGTCGGCTTGCGCCGGCAAAAGTGAGGAGCGAGTCTCACCCCCCACGCAGCCCGGTGGAGACAGCTCACTGTTATGGATGCACTGACAAGTGAAAAGAGGGAGGCGTGGCTTCACATGAGATAAATAAAAGAGGGAGGGAGAGAGGGAGGAGAGAGACTCCCTCAATCTACAATTCAATTTTGCCCTCACTCTCTTTTCAGGGCCGTTTTGTCCTCCTCTTCTTTTAGCATATTCTCGCCCTTCTTAAGCACCCCCTCTTCTTTTCCTCTCTCCCTCTCCTGTGTGTTATTTGTCAATGGTTTCCATTAGTTTGACTCTTTCTTCTCCTGGGTTGTTTCCTGTTTATTCTTCGTGTCGCATTTTCCCTCTGCCTCTTCAGGCTTTTTGGGCTCTCATTCATGAGCAAACATGCTGCAGAGTTGCATGCGTGTGTGCGTGCGCGCGCAGACACCGAACCAGGGCAGCTCTGGCCATCTGTTGGAGCCTGTGAGCTTCACCTATTCACAGTCTCATTAAGGCAGAGGCACACAGAGGAGCAAGAGAGAAAGGAATGGGAGGGAACGAAGGATCAATCTTAACGCTGCAGGGTTGTGGAGGGAAAACGCGTCGTGGCAAACGCACACACTCTCTCTCACACAAAAACACACACTATATCTGTCAGGCTGGCACCTCTGAAGAGAGCTGGCATGGGCACGCCTGCTCACTGGGTTCAGACACTGAAGGGGATTTGGCTCGCAGCGTTTTGAGCACGCAGACAGAGAAGAAACGCGCACCCAAATCAATTAACACAGAAACCCACGAAAAGTAAAAACGGCACAGTACGCAAAAACACACGCAATCAAAGAACATTTCTCTGACAAACTAGTGCTAAAAAAGTGAATAAACTTAAATAAACAATACAATGGAAACATTGGACATTTTTTAAAAGTCCCTTCTTGTTGACAGTCGGCCTAGGAAAAATAAAAAAGGCATTTTCTAGCCCGGCTTCGGCTAGATATTCATCCTGAGTGCGGGCGTCACCTCCTATTTCTGACCAGAAGGAAGAGGTGCGACGGAGGGTAGCAGAGGGCGGAGGCATCCATCTCTGTCTGCTCCAGCCGTCCCATGATGGATGCGCCTGTTTATCCCTCTCTGCAGGTTATTTAGATGCAGTCACAGCCAGAAAGATTAGTGATGGGAAACTTCTGCACCTCTCTGCCTCTCCTCCCACCTCGTCTAATCAATAACACTCTTATCTATAATCAGCATTTTGAGGCATTTCTTCATGGAAATATGAAGAACAGAGAGAGGGGGGGAAAAAAAAGAATAATTGTCCCACTCCTCTCGATGTTTTCAATTACAGAGTCGGCTATGGATCATCTGCGTGTCAGCGGGGCTAAACAGGTTATTTGTGTCGCTGCGGTGAGATGAAACCATGCTGAGCAGGGAAGAAAATCAAAATCAAAACAGCATTTCTCTGACCAGGATTGTTTCTGAAAGAGGCAAAACAAATGGTTTATTCAAGATGGGAGCAGACAGCAGCCAGGTGGAAGAGGATGCTCTACGTCAGGGCCAGAGCCAAATAGAAATTTTTGGTTTATGTGCGAAACAGTCTAATTACAACATCCCCACAGTGAATCATTGAGGAGGCAGCATGCTGTGGGGATACGTAGCTTCAGCGATGACATGGAGATGAAAATGAAGGGGCTCAGATAGGCTTTAAAAAGGCTTGCTGCTGACACAGAGCTTCGGCTTTCAGCAGAATCGCAAAGCCAGAACAATGGAAAGGTTTGGATGAAAGCATATTTCTGTGTTTAAAATGGCCTAATCAATGCCCAGTATCCAATTAAAAGACTTAAAAATTGATTCCTGAAAGTTTGTATCTCGCCAGTCTGTCCAGGGCCGGCCCAAGCCTCCATGGGACCCGAAGCAAAATTTGGTTTTGGGGCCCTCTATTTCTGCTAACAATGTGGGCCGGCTGGAAACAACAGTTAGAATATTAGATCATTTGCACACCAGCAAGGACAGGTAAAAGACAGAAAAAAATAAAATAACATTTCTTTCAGAAAATTATCTTAGTGCTCCTAACATCCATCGTATTTAACCCAAACAAAATGTGTGGTACATTAACACGGGCCTTGTATAAGGAAGGTGAATGCTGCTGTGACGAGGCGCAGGCTGACACCGAGTTGGACGAGCTTGGTCACAAAAATGCACACATAAACACACACAGACAAAAAACACCCGTGTAATTACACTGATAAATGAATAAAGGCTTTAGCAGTCCTCTCAATTACCGTCTGTTTATTTCAAAGCATGATACACCAATTTGAAATACAACAGGAGAAAATATCAGCTGAAATATTTATTCTGTGGCAGCAGTGACGGCTCGCCTTTAAAGTGCAAATCAGGTGGAGGCGTAAACTAAAGGACTTGCAGCTGTAATTACAGTAAAAGGTAGATTTCAAAAGAGTTTCCCCCACCACTTCACAGTTAAGGCTGAAGTATGCAACTTTTACAAAAAAATAATAAAAAATGTTTTTTTTATTTGTTCATGCTATCACTGTGTGGCGACTGTAGAATATGAGACGTGTACGTGCTGCTCAAACCCTCCACCTTTCTCTCTGCTGCACTACAACTGGTTCACCACAACGCAGCCTGCCATGATTGGTCAAGGCTAGTTAGCATAGCCACTGATGATGGCAGATAAACACTTTTCTTGGAGCAATAATTTGTTTCTCTGCCATTAGCACATTTAGTAGAGTTGATTGACAATGTTAACGCCCGCCTCCTGGCTCTGATTGGTTGTTTTTGACAAGAAGCAATGCATTTCCTCAGGAGTAAACACTGAAAAAAATGCGACCTTTTCACAGATCGTCTATCATATTATATTGTCACGACATGGTGATGGCTTTAACAAATGAAGAAGAAAAAAAAACATATTTCTGTGAAAGTTACATCCTGCAGATTTAAGTACTACTTTGTGATTGTGTGTAAAATAAAATATCAAACAATACTTTGCTATTTGTGGCTGTAACTCGGAAAAAGGGTGGAAAAGTTCAAAGGTCAAAAAGACTTGACAAGATGCCATCGTGGATTAAGATTTTAACAAACATACAAAAAGTCAAGAAGTAAAATTGTGCAACACATGCATGTATTAGTAACATAAAGAAGCCATCTTACAGCTCTTACATGCTAGATTACAGACGATTCCCCAGACGCTGCCGTGTTTTTCCAGAGCCATGCCGGCATGCCAACACAGCAGCCCAGTGACACCACTTAAGCACATGGTTTATTCATGCTCACTCTCTCTCGGTCCCTCTCAAATGCACTTAAAGCTGTGTCATGCTGCTGACTTCTAATTGGGCTCAACACAGATAAACAGATGCGTCTTCCATCAAATCAATCATGAACAGAGGAGCGTTTCTTATGCAGCTGGGATTTATCTCAACAGATATCATCCCGGACAGAAAAGTAATAACAAAAAAAAGACCTCAATAAAAGCCGTAAAACATAGAAAGGGAGTCGCACAGTAGAAAATAAGTCTTTATGTTAGACAAAAAATAATAATAATCACAGTTTAAAGCCTCAGAGAGAGAGGCCAGACCTTGGGAAACACATTTTGCTTTTCTGTTTTCTGCTTCATTGAATACAAAGTGGGAGAGGCCTTGTGAACAAGCCTTTGCATGATAATGTCAGGGCAGATGCATAAATAAAACTGAAGGGTTTCTCCTCAGATAGGACAGAAAGACAGCCATGTTCTATCAGGCTGAGATCTCGTCCTTGGCTTCAAGTATGTTGTAACAAATGAATTTGTTCCTCTTCTTGCCCTTTGTGGGCCAGGCTAATAAAAATATCCCCCGTCAGTTGGCAGCATAAAGAGGAAAAGGGCTCATTGCAAATGAGGCAGACCACCTCAATGCCTTCCTTTCACCGACTCGCCGTCTCTCAGAGTTTTACTCCTATTATTTTTGCAGCCTGGCCTCTTCGGTTCAAGGCTGACTTCTCCTCATCGCCGCCGAACAGGCGTACAGACACATCCCCAGCGGGCTGTCCTCTGTTCAGCATAAATCCCTTGTTGAATGTCTATGTCACCATGACTACATTATGACGAGAAACAGAGCTGGTGAGGAAAAGTCCCAGAAGCTAAAAATGTAAAGACTCAAGGACAAGGGATCGGTAGGACCGAGGAGGAGAGAAGTCCTTGTGTTGTGGAGCCTTTCTGGTGAAAACAGTGCACAGGCTGCAGCAGGTTCCCATTTATCCTCAGAGTGCATTGCTTGAGGCAGGCAGATGCATATCTGTGCCTCTTACAGAGCATGCTAAAGCTCAGACATGCGCTAAACGTCAGTTTGCATTCGTAGAAAATGTCCTGACCTACTAAAGTCACTATCGTCACAAGGTTCAAATGTAGCGCATGTCCTGCTGTGCCCGTTGCTCCAAGACCACATTATGGATTCTAATAACACACATCAAACATCGCCGTGATGTAATGAATTCAAATCAGCTCTTCTGTCATCATTTCCAAGAGTGCCACTGAGAACACAAATAGCAAAGGAAGCACGTGTTTTTGATGCATTGTTCCACATCTGCAGGTAATGCCATAATTCAATCAAAAACAACAAAAAACACGAGAAAGGCAAATTAGTTGTTTCAGCTGCAAACGTGTCAAGGCTGTGCTCACTGAATGTCACAGGACGTACAATGCAAAGAATTTACCAAGTCAAATATTTACATTATTAACTTTATTTCATGCATCATAGTTTATGTCTTGAGACTTAAATATTTTTGCTCCTGTTGAGTCACATCCTTCACTATTTCTTGTTATTTACACACAAATACAAAAGACTACCCTGATTTCATTTGCTCTCGATTTCTAAAATACTACGCTGCCAAGGTAATATAGTTTAATGCCAGTAAAGTACATCATAAGATTCATTCGACATGGGCAGAGAGACTGGAACAGAATCAGATGATTTCCAGGTGGACTGAGATGAGGCATTACACCATTAGCCACACTATAACACTCTTCAGAGAAAAAGTTGTTGCTGTCAGAAGATTCAAGTTACAGTGCTTTGAAAATGTAATTTTCTCCCTTGCAGATTTCCACTGATCTTGATTTTTTGTCACACTTCAAAGCATAAATCAATCATTCGTTAATTGTCTAAAGCCACTCTATCCTTGTAGCGACACCTGGTGGTTGCCAGTGTTGCTCTGCAGCCTGACCAGGGTGCCAGGCAACAATATAACCAACCATGCTGCTGTGGTTTTGTTAGTGAAGGAGTGAAACTTTCCCAGTCAAACTGGCCAAATATGAAGTAGTTGGGAGGCAACAACTGTTTTTCTTTTTGTTTTCGGATTATGCAGCCGGGGATCAGGAAGCACACAGCATGGCAGCCCTTCATTTGGATAAGACATGCAGTGATGAACTGTCCTCATCGAGGA